CACCCAATATTAAGTAATTTACCCAACTTTGTGAAGCATTGGTTTAGATCCTTGCCCATCCTAACCCACAAACTCAATGCCATCCATCTTTCTATCGGCTTGCACTTGGAATGTATTTTAAGTGTTGAAGAGTCATTGTGTCAATTCCTGAAGTGTAAATGTATGACATTTGAACAATTTTCATTTGCTTCAATTTTATATCCTTTTCTGACTTGTACACAAACCACAGCACAAACATAAAGGCAGTGTGATGGCTGTGATTTTACATTCTTTTAACTATGGATGGTTCTCTGGCACCATCAAAAACTTTCTAGATGTGTAGAAAATACTGGAAATTCAAAGTTCACTGCTCTTTGAAGGACATTAGGTTGGGGAAGGGAGAGACTTCAACCTATTGGCCAGAAGTAACCTGTGCTGCCTCTAATGCAGTGTTTCTCAACTTTAAACTGTAAGATGTATGGACTTCAGCATGGCTAGCTGGAGAATTCTGGGAGTGAAGTCCAAAGCTCCATTCCTTTTCTTCCTATTCTCTTCCCAGCTATGTAGCAATTAGACCTGAAAAGTAAGGCTAACGGCAGCCTTTTTTCAAATGTAAATTGCAGTATGAGGAAAAAGGATTGGGTGATGCAATGTGGCAGCAGAGCTGCCCAAGGAATGTTTAGTCTTCCTTTTCCCAAATGTTTCCTCTGATCAGCTACAATTAGGCTTAGGAAAAAGCTTACTGTTGAATTCTGTAATTGAAGTATGTGGAGGAATGTGTGAGTGCATGAACCTGTGTAATATATGGAATAGAAGTGTGCTAACTCTATGTGGTTAAAAGCATGTTTAGTATTATGTGTGCATAATTTGCTATGTGAGAAAACTGGGTTCTGCCTTATTCGGATGTGCATGAATAGTGTGTGTGTATGTGTGTGTGTGTGCTTATGTGTGAAAGATTTTTCACAAGTGGAAACTTCCTGAAAAGTCTTCTAAATCTTGGCCCCAAAGAAGAGAAGCTCACACCCTTGTTTTACATGGAACTCCCTTGTACTTTCTTTGCAACATAAGAGTGTTGCTGTATCCTTCCAAACGAATATTCCCACCATGGTTAAAACTGTACAATACTCCTCTTCAACATCAACCCCGTGCACATCACGAATGCATGTGTGGCTGTTTCACTATGTACACAGGGCAGGAATCAAGACAATTTGACCGAAATGAACATATGTGAATCTTGCCATTCTTTTTGCTTTCTAAATAATCCTACCTTTTTGGCAAGTTTACATCTTATTTTTATACAGCTGATCTGTGCCCCTTCACTCAACTATTTAAAAGCAAGATATGAATACCAAATAGAAGAATGGAAGATCATACCGGGCAGTTGATTAAAGCTGCTTATTATTCAATGGCAGCTATCACTAACCCCTGGAAAGGATGAATGGGCATCATCTTTGGAGAGCACTGGGTTGGGGAGAGATATCTTAAAATGCCTATGCGCTTCAAGATATTGCAGCCTTTACCTAGCAACTTTTCATTGCTTTTCATTCTGCTCCAAACAGTGTCCTCTATTTCAGCGTCTTATTCCATCTGAACACATCTATTTCCATAAAATAAGAGTACCAAACCATAAACATACTCCAGAAGCATACCTTATTAATGAGGACTTATAGTATACCACAATACACACCAACCAAATTTTGCAAAGAAAACAACACTGCATGTACTGCATTATATCTCCACAGTACGTAATTTCAAACTTACTATATAGTAGTTAAGTACCCTTCAAATGCCTGATGAGTTCATAGACATATCCATGTAGTTTTCTTGACCAATGAGTTGGCCATTGTTTCTGCCAGGAAGGTTTCCCCCCCCCCATGTAGCTTACTGCCATTTAATTTCCTGAAGAGTTCCCGTTCAAATAATAACCAACTTTCATTCTTCTTAGGATTTTGAGATCAGCTAAATTATTGATGACATGGTGTCATCAAGGTGGGCCTAGAATCAGGGGTAGGCAACTTTGGCTCTTTTATGGGTCATGGACTTCAACTCCATGCTGGCTCAGGAATTCTGGGAGTTGAAGTCCACGAGTCATAAAAGAGCCAAGGTTGCCTACCCCTGGCCTAGAGACTGCAGAACTAGAATTATTTAGCTGGTGGCAGGATTGAGTCCAAGCAACAATCCCCAATCAAAAGTCAAAATTTAATAGGCAGGTGTGATCATTTCACCCAACTTTGCTTGTAGTAGTAACAAATGTATAGTAGATAATGTTTTTATTGTCCACATTCATCCCACAATGAACTGGAGTCATTGAATTCAATAAATATTATGGATCAGTCCCATTTCTCAGTCTATCCTGTATTATGCTCAGTTACAATGGTGATGAGTGCACCTTTAGGAGAGTTTATTTATTTATTTATGAGACTTATATACCGCTTTAAGTGCGAGCACTCTCTAAGCGGTGTACACCAGTAAGCAATGTCCCATTCGTCATCTTCAGGCTGGTGTTTTCAGCTTCGTGCTTCGAGCAGCAATGTGTGGTCTTAGCTGTTTCTTCCTTCTCTGGAGGACAAATGGAATGTGATTAAAGTAACAAAATAATTTTAAAAAGCAAGGTCTATGTAAAAGAATTTCTTAAGTGGTTTTCACTTTCAGCAAAGGTTTTAAGCATACAGTACATGCTGATGCTGAAAAAAATCAGGATATCTGATTTACTAATGAATAGGCCATTTTGGTTGTAGCTAAAGTGGCAAAAGGAGCCCTGGGTTTGACAAAAGAATCATAATGATTCATAATGGCTATGGACATTGCCTGAATAAGCAGTTAACCCAGGGGAAAAGGGCATCATCAGCCTGGCAGATTGTGTATGAAGCTTTTGGAAGAGAAGAAAGGGGAGGGGAACAGAGTCCTTGACCTGTTGAATATGAAACATTTTGAGATATTACAAGCCCCTCCCGCCCCCTGAATCAATGGAGGGCAAAGTAGGGATGGACAGGATCTCTTTTCTGTTTTATGAATCACTGGATTTACGTGTCAGAAACATCCTGACACCTAAAGAATTTGTTGCCTCTCAGAGCTGAACATAGGAACTTATTCTAAGCACTGTATTTACTTTCTTAAATACAAAAATCATTTTAGTAATTCCTAATACTGCAACCATTCTACCAGCTCTAAACTACTTTTGTGTCCCAACCTTGGAGCAGGAAGTCCTGTTTTACAAGAATACCTTTTGTTATTTGTTTTTTGTTATCTGTTTTGTTATTTACAAAATAGATTCTAAATAAAGCAAATTCTAATAGAAGAGAATAGTTGAAGTTCAGGATTGAACTATGGGTGCTTTGGTACTGCCTGAACAAAAAATCAAGCATGCTCAGAGAGTACCAAGGACCTCAAAGCAACTACTGTCAATTTGCAATATATTTCCTGCGCTTTTCCATTAAAGCAAATTTTGGCAAGGCTGTTCCAGAAACCACAGATAATTGTATTGATTGTAAAAAAAAAAAAAAAAAAAAAGCAACTCATGTTATCTTTCTCATTTAATAGGTTTGCACATCTTTGGGACATGGATGTATACACAGAGTTAAACCACATAAAACACTATGCACAGAGTAATCCTGCTTAACACACTCTTGTTTATTTTGAAGCTACTTAGCAGCTGTTACTGCTGAGAAGCAATCAAGTAGTAAACATTAGCTGCAGTATCTCTCTTTTCATGCTTTACTGCTAGATTAGAAAAATGTGAGGGGTGCCCCAACCAGGAATTTGTCATTTCTGGCAACTTCATCTGTCTTTTGGGGGCAAGTAGGTAGGAGAGAAAGCAACATAAGGTGGATAGATCAGTTCCATGATGTGCTTCAAACTGCCTCACATTCAACCTATTTCTGAATCAGTAGCCACTAGAGAAGCCATCATGTTCAGAGCCCAAAACTGAATCTAATGAGCCTAATTCTTCCCAATATTTCACCCACTTTGATGTGATCCCAGCACCTCCCTTGGTTCCTTTTGTTTATTCTTTCAAACAGGCACTCTGGACTGGTGTTCTTTTCACAAGGAGCCTCCTTGGCCTCTTCTTTCACCTGCTCCTCTGGATGACACTGGACAGCAGGGTTGTGGTTTGCTGGGTCGACTCCCTACGACTGGACCACTGAAGCTTCAATGTGGTCTGTGTGAAATCCATACTTAGGTGAGACAAGCCCAAGAAGGAAGATGAAGATTGTGCAGCTGTTTGTAAACCAGCCTTATTCAAGGTGCTCTCTAGATTTGAGAGATTACAACCCCCATTATTGGCTTCACTGGCAGAGGTAACAGGAGTTATAGCCCAACACAGCGATCAGCAATTATGGCTCCTTTACTACCTACTACCTACTATGGCTCCTTTACTACCTGTGGACTTCAACTCCCAATATTCCTGAGCCAACATGAAGAGTTGGAAATCCACAGGTTGTAAAGGGGCCATAGCTGCCCACCCCTGCTCAGCATCAGTTGCCAAACTCTGGGCAGCAAGAGCTCGAGAAAGGCACCCTTGATGGTAGCAGAAAGAATGAATGGGCGCCCACTTTTTCCTCGTCATGGACCGAGTCTTCTACCCAGCGAAACCCACAGGCAGTCGATCGGGAAACAAGAAGGTACCGTAGTAGCAACTTGCAGCCTTCCCTTCCAGTCTACCAAGGTATCGGAAGAGAGCGTAGCCGGAGCAAAAGGCCGTCGAGCCTTCCTTTCCCCATGAAACGCAACACGAGAGCCCGTCGTTTGACCTGAAAACCTTGGAGACTATCAACCTCCATCTCTCGGGCGAGCCGTCGCTGCTTTTACAATCCCACCCGCTGCTCTTCCCCGCCTCCCTCCTCTCAGGTCTTTGGGGGGGGGAGTGGGGGAGTGAGCCAATCGCTCGGCGGAGGTGAGAAGAGCATCAAAAAGCTCTTTCTCAGCGAACCGGAGAGCGAGCGCCCGGTTCTTGGGGCGCATGCGCGCCTGTAGAGTGTTGGCTGTCTATAATAACAACAGGGAAGGCGAGGGAGCGAAAGAGTCCGTGCGCAGCACCAGTAGCTCCTGGCTGCCGCGTCAGGAACCTCCGCTAGGAGTTTTGCGATTGCCAGCTGGGAGGATCGGAAGGTAAAGTACAGGCGAGAGCTGCTTCTGGGCTCCTGCTCGCCTCTCCAAACCAGAGGAAACAGCGGTCGATTGGGAACCGTGCCGGGCACGGCAGGGAAGAGAGCGCGGGAGCGGGAGATTGCGCTCCAGAGCGGCTCTTTCCGACCCCGCTCCGCTATTCCAGCTAGACATTTCCACGAAGCTCCATGGGCATAAAGGAGTTCGACCGGGATCTTCACTTTCGGATATGGGGACTTCCCTCTCCGGACTTAGAGGGGCAAGAACTGGGAAGATGAGAAGCTGCTGAAGGTGCTCCTGCAGCGGGTGCGAGCTGAAAGCCAGGCGCGCGAGAGAGGGGGCGGTGTCCCTCTCCAGCCGCCAGGTCGGCCCCTGAACCCCTTCCCCAGTCTCCGCCAGCCACGCGCACCGAGGGATCTCCGGGTGTGTTATGGTTCCCGGAGTGCTTTGCTCAGTACCGCTTGTCTGGGAGCGGCCGCCCCAAGGTCGCCTTTCCTGCCTTTTCGTTTCTAAGAGGGACTCGTTGCCTCGGGCTCTGCCTCCCGGCCAAAGCGAAGGTGTTTCCCCTCCTCCGGGCTGGGATAATTGCGCCCTCGGGTTCCCTCGTCGTGTCCACGTTTCCAGCATCCGCGGTCTCCCTCGGATTTATGACAAAGCGACTCCCGCGCGAGATGCTGAAGTTCCTCCACAGCCAAGAGTTTGCGGGGCGACCAAGTGGGGCTAGAAGGCCCTGCTTCGCGAAGTGACTTGGCAGAGGAGGAGAACCGAAGAGTCAGTTTTGGATTCCGCTGGGCTTCTCCGCCTCCCGTTGGTGCCGGCCAGGAGCGGGTGGACTGCGGGGCTGTTTACCTCAGCCCAATCCCTTCGGCAGACCGCTCTTTTTCTTGTCCTTTGGTCTTTCAAAACTCCTTCCCCCCTTCTCCCCCCCCCGTTCCTGACCAGTTGCTGTAGCGAGGTGACAGCGAGTTGGCACTTAGTTCGGGGCTCGTCTGTTAGTAGCACCCACCCCCTTGACACTCTACGCCTGACTTCCCAGCGGAGCGCGTCTTCCGTGTCTCCCGAAATCTTTATCTCTTTTCTTTCTCTCTCGCGCGCGGGCACACAAAACTTCTCTAATCGCTGCCTCTGTCAATCCAGGCAGCCAGAAGAGGGGCGGGCAGCCTGCGTAGTTGACGGAGCCTCCAAATCGGGGGCAAGAGCCGCCGCGGCTCTCCGCCCGGCCGCCCTCCCGCCTCGTGGTGCCATGTGGCGGGGCCGGCCTTCGCAGCTGCTGGCGGCGCCCGGAGGGCGGCTTCTGCTGCTGCTCCTGCTGGTTGGACTGAGGGCGCGGGGGGCGCTGGCCAGCGGCGAGTATTGCCACGGCTGGCAGGATGGGGCGTCCTGGCGGGAAGGTTTCCAGTGTCCGGAGCATTTTGACGACGGCGACGCCACCATTTGCTGCGGCACCTGCGCGCTTCGCTATTGCTGCTCTCGGCCGGAGGTCCGCCTGGATCAAGGCGTGTGCGACAACGACCGACAACAGGGCGGAGCGGAGCACGGCCGGCCGGACAAAGACGTGCCAGACAGCGCGGCAGGTACGGAGCGGGGAGCCTCGTATTCCCACAGTTGCATGGCTCTTCTCCCGTTGCACTCTCTCTAAAGTTATCCTTTTCTCCTTGGCTTTCATGATTGTGCGTATTTCCTTTAGCATTGCCTGTGTATAGAGGGAGTCCTCAACTTACGACCACAAGGGAGTCCAACATTGTCGCTGCTGAGACACTTGTTAAGTGAGTTTTGCCCCACTTTATGACCTTTCTGGCCACTGTTATTAACTGAATCACTGCAATTGTTCAGTTAGTAACATGATTGTTAAGTGAATCTGGCTTCCCAATTGACTTTGTTTGTCAAAAGGTTGCAAAAGGGGATCACATGACCCTGGGACACTGCAACTATCATAAGTATTCAAGTATTTGAATTTTGATCACGTGACCATGGGGATTCTGTCATGGTAATAAGTACGAAAAATGATAATAAACCACTGTTTTCAGTATCATAACTTCCAACAGTCACTAAATGAACTGATGTAAATCAAGGACTATTTGTATTAGCACAGCTTAAAGGGCAATCAGCAGCACCATGTTGCTTGGGAATATGGGTTTATTATGGAAGATATTATTTCTGATAATATATAAATATGATGAGTGTCCATCATTCTGGTACTTATCACTGGTACTTGCCCAGTCAGTCAATCTGGGATTCTTATTGAATAATTTGGATGTTTCAGGCTGGGCGCTAATGCCAGATCTGGCTTATCCTACTTCTCCTCTAGTCCTTGATTCTCTTTGGATATTTTGGACTTCAGGGTTTTAGATCCAGCTTTAGCTCCACCTTTGGGCCCCGGATGGGCTATGGCAGGCAAAACAAATCTACCAGTTTACCTGACTCAGCAGTAGGAGCCCATGTAAGATCTAGATGTATTTTCCTCTCTGACTTTAGTAGCACTTAATAGATATCAGATGTGCATGTATTTGTTGAGACACAAATTATAATTTCTTGAATAGAATATACTGTTTAAAAAACTCAATTTATTAAATGTAGAGGACTTGAAAGTGACTTAAAAACAAACTCATTTAACACGAAGTGCTTAGTTATCTGGATGCATATGGATATTATTGATGAGATGGAAAATATGTATTTTAAATTGAAATGCATTTTATTTAGCCTCTTTGTATTCACTCACATAGCAAGAGATGTTTAGAGCATTCTGCCAAACACAATGTTAATATCTGTATAGTTATCCTAAGTTCAGGAATTCCTTTATATTTGCCTTTGTGAAAAGTTTAAGAATACTAGTTTTAAAACAAGTTACTTGTGATGTATATCCCACCTGTGAAACTTTCTGAAACTTTCATAAACGTTTTCCCAAGCTGCTTCCCTCAAAATCCCTTAAATTTATTGTACCATCATCACAGTGCATAAAACCATCATCTATCCACATACAAAGCTCCATTTATTGCTTTGATCTGTCAATGTCCTCATTATTTTTTCCTCCTAAACTTTTGTGACTCAAATAACCCAAGAAAACTGAACAACACACTTATACTCAGCAGACTTTTCAGTGTGAGAAGACATAAACTTGAGATGTTTTCTGAATTGAAATAAATGGCTTAAAGTTCAGGGTTGAGAAATGCATGATAATTCAACAGCCTGTAGAATACCATGGTGCAGAAGGCAACTGAAAATATAATTATAATTTTGTGCGCTAAGAGCAGGAATTGAAAAGAGTACAGTCATAAAAAGAAACATGAAAAGATTTTCATGGTATAAGCACATGATGTCTCCATCAACTCATGTCTCAGTTTTAAATGTCTATAAGCTGCAGTCATTTAGTTGGCAGTTAGTACCATTTCACCCAATTGGTCTAACTTTTAGTATGTATAAGATCTGTTGCCATCCCCTGATATAATTTTTTTAGCAAAAAAGCAGTTAAGAGTTTATTGAACTACCCTCCTGGAAACAGACTGAACCACATATTTAAAGTATAGGTAATCTTCAATTTATGATCACAATTGGGACCAGAATTTCCGTTACTAAGCAAGGTACCCAATTTTATGATCTTTTTTGCCCTGTTAAGTGAATCACTGAAGTTGTTAAATGTAGAAGAAGAGATGGCATAACCTTGGGGGGAGGCGGAATGAAAAGGGGGACATCAGCAAGAATCCCTAGACAAAGTCTAACCCCCCCACTTCCCCCCCCCACTTGGTGCTGTTGACCCTTAACTAACTCTAAGCAAATGCCCACCGTGGTTGAGAAAATCCCTGTGGTTGAGAATATCCCTGTGGGTAGGATTTTAGTAGTAAATCAGCTTAATTGAATCTTCACTTGTGGATCTGGTCTTTCACACCCAACATTAAGTGAACCACGTGGTCATTAAATAAATTGACTTTGTTAGAAATCATTGGGAAAGCCACAAATGTGATCATATAAACCCAGGATGCTGCAACTATTGTAAATTCATAAATGCATGTTGGTTGCCAAATGCCCAAATTTTGATCTCATGACCATGAGGATGCCATAGTGGTTGCTGTAATATTAATGATTTGTACGGTAAAATGCATATGGTCAAAGAAATGATGGTGCGAGGGTTTCTTTTAGTTTTTAAGAAGATAAAGTGAAAAACAACTTGTAAAAAGAGCAATATCCTATTAGGGCATAGATATAAAAGAATCCTCCCTTGCTGGATTGTACAGTTAATTATGAATATAGTAGACAGTAAAATTCACAGGGATTTGGAGTGGGGCACTTTTAAGCAGAAGCTAGCCGTGACATAACAATATAATTAATTGTTGTGATATGTTGGTTAAGGTATGGTTGGACAAAAGTTTGGAGGTTAGGTTTCAATCTTCCTTCAGCCACAGAAACTTCACATTGTTACTTAGCACCAATTGCTTTCTCCCTGCCCATCCTGATTCAACATACACACAAGAGAATGCAGATACAGTTGAATTTGGGGTCCTAAGTGCTCTCTGAGCTTGGCTGTTTCCTTGTAGACATTTCAGAACACTGATGATATCTAGTTTGCTAATGAAAAGGCTGCAAAAAAATAACCAAGCTCAGAGACCAGCAGGGATCCCCAGAGAAGAAAACTGTTAAAATGGGATATAAAGGATATGTTTTCTTTTGGAACTATTTTTTTTATTTCATTGCAAGTTTAATATATTAATTTAACCAGTTATCTAATACTCATGTTTTTGTATGTGCCCATATTTGCGTATTAATTTAACCAGTTATTTAAAACTCAAGATGTTTCTGTATGTGCTCATGTTTGTGTATTTATATAATCAACTGTGCATGCATTCTCTTCAGAGTCAAAAAATTTCACCATCAACAGGGTCTTCTGAACAAACTCTGCTTGAGCAGTGGTTTCAGTTATGGAAGGAAGACTGGACTCCTCAATTGAACTGGACTTGTCATATGCCAGAACGTTGATATAAATGCAAAGCTAACAGGACATCCATTTCCCTTAGGGGTATTGTTAAGTAATTCTAGACTCTAAATGGTTTTGTGGGGCAGGGTCCCCTTTTTAAAGATATGTATATTACCTGTTTCATTCATTTGGGAGGGTCATTTCTTAATTGAGGTTGGCTTTAGAGTCCTATATTAAAGTCCTGCTGGTATCGTCGTCATCGTGTAGAATACTATTCATAGATCTGAATAGTACATTATAATAATGCTATTGTGGATAAGAAGCCATAGAAATATAATTTCTGCTGGGCTCCAGAGCAGATGTATCTGAGCCCATAAGGAAGTATCTTCAGGGCAACCTAAAATCATGTCAGAGACTGATATGGCCCAGTTTGCATGGATTAAAATGTAATCTGCTACAATAATGTCCCAAATATTAACTGTAACATGTTCTTATTTCTATCCTCCATACAGATTTTAATCATCTTGCTTAATTAATACTATAATCACAGGACACAATCGGCCATTAACTAGCCAGCTACCTTTTAGGATAGCATAATAGTAAAATAGTAGAATAATAAACAATGTTGGGATTGTTCTTGAACTGGAACTGAAGCGTGCAACTATTTTGTGAGTCTTCCAATTGCTCAAATAAGAGTTATTATCTTAATATGGATTTTGGATAATTTACTTAATTGCATATGGGAGTTATTTTAGCATTAACCAAGCTCATTGCAATAATCAACGCATATCATATACATTACTTTAATTGTGTTTGGTTATTCTAACATTGCAGATGAGCTATGGGGGCTGATGAACTGCCCTAGCCTTCCCCAGTCTGATATTTCGGATACAGCTCTCTTCTGCCATATTTAGTATATCCAGTGATAGGGTGTGATGGTAACTGATGGTGTAAAATATGTGAAGACCACCATTTGAGGGGAAACTAGCAAATCTCCTTGTTTACATTAGGGAATGGATTCTTAACTATGAGTTGGGACTTCCTGCTTCCATATCAGTTTTGTGCCTTCAAGCCAGTGTTGAGTCCAGGCAACTGCTTGGATTAGTCCCTGTAGTTTTAGTGGCAAAATTTTGGAAGTAGTTTACTATTGCCTCCTTCTTCTTCTTAAGGCTGAAACACAGTGACTAGCCCAAAGTCACTTTCATAGCTAAAGTGGGACTAGAATTCATGGTCTACCAATTTCTAGCCTGGTGCATTAACCAGTACACCAAACTGGCCCTCCTTTCTGCTCTTAGTTATCAGTTATGTTACACAACAGTGTTAAAAATCATTGTTTCCTTAATTAAGCTAGGTTTCTGCATTTGGACCAAACACTAAACCACTAATAATCATATTGGTGGGATATCTTAGGCTGGTTTATGATCCAGCTAGTATGATAGCTAAAACATGTTCTATTTTATGCTGAAAGTCATGGGACATTGGGAGGCTGTATCCTTCAGCTTAAAAAAAATATTCCCTAAAAGAAAAAACTGTTTTGGCCTGATTCAGTATGCATTCAGGGAACAATCTGGAGAGACGGATTGGATTCCCTTCTGTGCCTGGAAGAACATTTGATTTTAATTGCTAATTCTCTCCAAATTGTAGAAATTCCAGAGCAATATACTTTAGACCTGTGACAGGTAACTTGATGCCTTCCAGATGTTTTGAACCTTGGTTCTCTTCCCATATTGACTCAGATTCATTGGCAAAACTGGAAAAAAAGTAGACATGTCTTAAGTTATTAGTAATCTCACCCACAATCTCTTTTATATTTTATCTTCTTCTTCTTGTGCCATATCCGTTATTGGACATTGGCGATCATGTTGGCGATCCTGTTTTTATCAGCAGCCTCACGAAAAAGTGCTGCTGAGTTTTGTCCAAACCAGTCCCTTAGATTTTGAAGCCACGATGTTCTTCTTCTGCCTGGACCTCATTTGCCTTCAATCTTTCCCTGGAGGATTAAATGGAATATGCCGTATTTTTCTGGGTGTTGCATCACATGTCTGAAATATTCTAATTTTCGTTTTTTAATTGTTTGATGATTTCCCTTGGCTTTCCCAGGCGGCTTATCACCTCCTCATTTCTGATCTTGTCAACCCAGCTTATACATAACAGCTGCCTGTAAATCCACATTTCAAATGCTTCTAGTCTCTTCAGGTGGCCTTCTGTCAGAGACCAACTCTCTACTCCATAGAGCAGGATAGAAAAAATATAGCATCTGACAAGCCTGATTTTCAGTCTTAGGCTTATGTCGTGTCTGCAAAAGACCTTTTTCATTTTGAAGAATGCTGTTCGGGCTTTTTCTATCCTTGTTTTTACTTCAGTGGTCATGTCCCAGCTTTCATTTAAATTAGAACCAAGGTGCGTGATCCTTTCAACTTATATTTTATAACATATTGAATTTTCATTTCCCCCCCGTCCTCCCATTATAGGAAGAGTGAATATATTTGTTTTACTTTCTAGATGGTAGCATTTGCTATAACATCTCAATAAAATTATCTCAAACAGATCTATCATTTCACTAACAATATTTTATACTGATTTTCTAATTTTAAAAAAAATCTAGAAAAATGAGGCTCTTTAACAAAAAGAGCCAAAAGTAATATCAGCTCATATAACAGTTTAACTTGGGTGTTGCAATATTATGAATGAATAAATAGCATTATTTCAGAATCCTTCCTGTGTGATTTATATTCCAAACTAAACCTAGCCTTTTGACCTCTGAAGAAACCTTTGCTCAATTGCTTTCAAGCAATTTTTCTCCTGAAATTTATGAATTCATCAGAAATTATATTATAATTGGGGCTAATTATTCATTATTCAGCTAACTAACTATCCTTGGATGATCTACAAAAGTAATCAGGCGTAGTATTTGAATGGGGGAACCACGTAAGAATTTAAATTACACTAAATTGGGAAACGAGTAAAAGAAGAAACCCAAACAACCCATTCTGATACTGTGTTTATATTGTCAACATGAACTGTGTTTGACCCAAAAGTTTATCCTTATTTCTGTTCCTGAGAAAGCTGCATATTACAAGAAATGATTGATTCATTTATACTTGTATGTGTAGGGTGAATCTGGAAGAAGGCAATGGCAAACCTCTTCTGATTAGTAACAACAAAATACAGTTTCTCTAGATCAGTAATTCTCAACCTTTTTAATGCCGCGACCCCCAACCGGTCGTAAGTCGAGGACTAAACTGGTCGTAAGTCAAGGACTAAACCAGTTGTAAGTCGAGGACTACCCAACTGATCGTAAGTCGAGGACTTTCTCTGCCCGGGAGCACCGCGCATGCGTGGTGCCACCACCTGCGCCGGCTGAGGCGTAGCTGGCAAGCAGCAGAGATGGAGCAGGCCGACCACCGGCTGGGCCACCATCTGGCCCAGCCCAAGGGAGGTAAGGCACCCGCCGGAAAAGGGGAAAAAAATGGCGGACAGCCTTGCTTGGCGACCCCCGTGAAATGGTCGATCAACCCCAAATGGGGTCGCGACCCATAGGTTGAGAACCGCTGCTCTAGATTCAAGAGGAGTGGGGCTCAACCTAACTTATATATGTATGTGTGTGTCTGTGTGTGTGTGTGTGTGTGTGTGATGGGAAAGAGAGGAAATCTTGTTATGCATGTTGCAATTTTTGCCAGCACTTCTGGGCTTTGTGTCTGATTGCATTTTGTGAAAAGCTAGTGTTTTCCAAGCCTTCCGGGATATTGAATTCCCCTAATTATCAGCCACATGCTCTGCTATTTGGGAACTATAGTTCAGCATACATGGGAGTTCAATAGATTGGGAAGACTGCTTTACCAATTCCTTGTTTTCTTTTGTTTTGCTGGAGGTAATAAAAGGTAGCCGAAAATGTCTCACTATTGTATAATCTGTATTTTGTCCTAGTAGAATATCCTCACAAGTTTCTCTTTTCTGTTGACAGTGCCTATTTATGTGCCATTCCTTATTGTGGGCTCTGTTTTTGTGGCATTCATTATTCTGGGATCCCTCGTAGCTGCTTGCTGTTGCCGGTGCCTGCGACCCAAGCAAGAACCACAACAGAGCCGGGCTCCTGGAGGGAATAGGATAATGGAGACAATTCCCATGATTCCAAGTGCCAGCACTTCCCGTGGATCCTCCTCACGTCAATCAAGCACAGCTGCCAGCTCCAGTTCAAGTGCCAACTCTGGTGCCAGGGCTGCCCCCACCAGATCACAAGCTAACTGCTGTTTACCAGAGGGGACCATGAATAATGTATATGTCAACATGCCAACTAATTTCTCAGTGCTGAACTGCCAACAGGCCACACAGATAGTGCCTCATCAAGGGCAGTATTTGCACCCCCAGTATGTGGGGTATGCTGTGCAACATGACTCTATGCCCATGGCCTCTGTCCCACCTTTCCTGGATAGCCTGCAAAGCGGGTACAGACCAGTTCAGTCGCCATATCCCCACAGTAATAGTGAACAGAAAATGTACCCTGCAGTGACTGTGTAGCTCTTCAGGAGGGAAGGAAGGAAGAAATCAAAACAGTCAACAGTGATGCATCAAGCAAAGGAGTAGTAACAACAAACTCTACAAAGCAACAATTTGTAAATAATTTTGGAAAACCTGTGCTTCAGACAGTATTTATTCCTGGTTTTCACTGGATACAGTAGCAAAAAGCTGTACGAAGGAACTAGAAATGGTATTTTTAGGTAATGCCTCCATTCCAGTGTATAATTTATAATGGCTAAGAATTACGCTGAAGGAGGCACTGATATTTCTATTACCAAACTTGCATAAATGATTAAATGCCCCTCAGGTACTTCCCATCAGCAGTATTTGCCTATTGAATAGAAGACATTTTGTAATTTGACAAAGACAATATTTTAGGAGTGTCTTGTTTTTAACCTTTTTGTCCTTGGTACAATGACTCTTCATATTGCTGTACTGACAATCATGCTTCACAGTAGTAGGTTAAATGGTGCAATGCTTGTTAATTACAGTCCTAGGAACTTATTGGTTAGCTCAGTGGTAAAATTGTAGTCATTCCACTGTAGGAAGTCCATATTCATATCCTGGTATCCATCTTCCTCCCCCCTTCTCTTGAGTTCTGCAGCAGTTGATTTGAGAGATCTTCTGCTGGAGAATCTGGAGAGCCATAAAAATGGGCAAATAAACTGATCTCATGTGGCAGCTTCATATGTTTTCTTTTCTCATAATGCTTATTTTCCAATGGACTTGAAGTTTTGATTTATAGACTGGGATTTTAAGGAAATAAACCAGCCATGCTCGTTTCAGAAACAAGGAAAATGGGATTTATTTCATAACCTCCTTTTCCAGATAGCAAGTCCTCATTACTCCATAAAAATTGCCTTTCAAAATGTTCTCACTAAGCCAGGGGTAGGCCCTACCCCTACACTAAGCAGTCAGCCACTGTGACAAACCTCCTCAGGAGCATGATTATGTCTGTGTAGTCCCTTGGATTATGGCCATGGTCAATGCAGAAATATTATTTATCTCAGGCATTTTCAGATCACAGTAAATTATTCCAAATAAAATACCCATGAAAGCCCTAATATCTGTTTTATTAATCTGTGAATTTCAGTGTTTGCTCACAAAGGCTACTGCATCCTTTGAAAACTGCATGTGGGAATGTCAGTAATATGAGATTTGTGGATAGTAGCCAATACTTCATCGAACATGTTCCTAACTCCTTTTATATTTGAATGAAATACAAAAGTCACATCTATATCAAGACTTGACATGGGCCTGAGAAAGGGGATTCCTATTTAATATGAGTAAAAAATAACCACATGCTTGGAAAATCCTATACAAGTTTCAACATGGAGTCCAAAGGAAGATTTAAATTAACAACCACAAGAAGAATTATAAATTAACAATAACATTATAAAAACATTACAATGAGACTGTGACAGTCCACAGACATGTAAACATATTTTGGATAGATTGGATAGTTCTTTATGGAAGTTAAAAAGTTTTAAATGGCATTAAATCAAAAAGTATATTGCCCTATACTAACTGATCTTTTACAATATCTCATCACCCTAGTGTTACAGTATATTTAATAATTTCCTATAGAGGTTTATTAGCAGTGACATTGCATTTGATTAATAAATTAGCTCTTAGCTTGAAAATATCTTTTTGGTCTGAATAGATCAATTTGGCTTAAAAATATGCGGTGCTTTGGAGCTAATTGGATTAGATTCACTATCTTCTCAGAGGTAGAATAAGTTTTTCTAGCTGAAACTAAAGTTGATGATCTTGGGCTGCAATCCTCTATATACAGAATTAGAAGTAACTCCAGTTGATATCAGTTGGGCTTACTTCTAAGTGCATAGAGCTGCACTTTCTCATCCTGAAATTCATTGCACATGTCCTGTAACTTAGGTGAAAATCAGGTGAATCTTTTGTTTACTTATTTGGAAAAAAAATAAGTTAAATTGAAAGTATTGTAGAAACTAATTTGCAACTATTTGGGAGAAATGCTTTTCATTGAGAAATTTATGAATGGGAGAAAGTTCATTTTATATTTGTTGATTTAGATTAAACATAAAGGCTTGAATTATGGAATCAAATTGTTTCTGAATGTCACAATAGTGGTATACAATAGAAGAATCGCATGTCTGAGAATAAATGGAACACTTAGTAAATGATTCAACACTAAGCAGAAAATAAAACTTTCCTCAAGGATGTGTGATATAGTAGGAGTGATGCACTTAAGAACTGTAGTAAGGCAAGAAAAGAGAAAGTAAAATGTATGAGTGATGAATGAATGTTATTGAATATGAAAGTGAGTGACCAGTATGAAAGTAGTATATTGAGGTGGTATGTACGTATAGTGAGAATGAATGAGGATCCAATTGCAGAAGGAACTACGAAATAAGAATGATTGGTTGAGACAAAGGCTAACACCTACAAAACTGTTTTATGTTTGAATTGATGAGATCCTCAGAAAAACATGAAGTATAAGGAACAAAAGGCAATGTATGAAGCAGCGTATGAATATGAAGCAAGCAAGGACGGTATGCAAACAGAAAAACCTGGGGGAATTAAATGAATAGTATTGGTATAAGCTAGTTTTCATTATGTTTTTTTTAATGTAATTCTTTTAATCTCTTTGATTTATTAGGTCTTTTCTGTGCTCTGCATAACTTTGCTAACCCTGAAAGGGAAAAACATAATGTGTATTTATGTATATACAGGGAAATGCTTTGAGCTGTAATAAAAATGATTTGTGATGTGGTGTTTTTTACGTCATGTAAAATAAGTAAAATATTGTTAATGTTCAGTTTAATTTTTAAAATTTCTTAAAGAGCATTTGAGTGATTCTTATAAGTGAAAAAAATCTTTTGTTTCATAATAAATATTTTATGGTGTGAATTTTATTTCCTTGTTGTTTGTTGCTACCCATTTTTCAAACCCTAACTCTTTGGTGCCATCAAGTGCTTATATGGAGTTTTGCAGGCCAGTAAGAAACTGCTGCTGGAGTATTCAAGAATGGAGAACCTAGAGACCATATAACTCAACAATTTTGGAAGATGCAAAGCAAAACATAAATTACAGACTGAGATTTCTCTGGAAAAATAAATGCTTTTTCTCAAAGCTCATTTGTCAAGGTGTTCAAGCATATGTATATGCATTTAAGTTGAAGAAGCATCCAGTTAAGACCTAATTAATACGGTGCTAGTTTCCTTGCTGAATTAATATATAAACTTTGTTTCTCATGGAAAGCTGCTATGCTGTAGCTCCCCACTGTATCCAAATCATTTATGTTGTTCCATGTTATAGCCTGCAGCTAAAACTGCTAAAACTATTTGTATCAATTCTTTAGTTGCCAGGCTAAAGAAGCTGTCTTATCATTTCCCCAAACTGACAAACATATAGCAGAACTTTTATATGCTGAAAGTGTAATTCTGCTATCCCAAACATAAAATGGTCTAGAAAAGGTATTGCAAGCTTTGTCTGAATATTACAATGCAAAAGCCCTAGAAATTAAGTATAATAAAGCTACGTTTTGGTCACCATGATGTAAAAAAGATGTTGAGACTCTAGAAAGAGTACAGAGAAGAGCAACAAAGATGATTAGGGGATTGGAGGCTAAAGCATATAAGGAACGGCTGCTGGAATTGGGTATGTCTAGTTTAATGAAGAGAAGGACAAGGGGGGACATGATAGCAGTGTTCCAATATCTCGGGCTGCCACAAAGAAGAGGGAGTCAAGCTATTCTCCAAAGCGCCTGAAGGCAGGACAAGAAGCAACAGGTGGAAATTAATCAAGGAGAGAAGCAACCTAGAACTAAGGAGAAACTTCCTGACAGTTAGAACAATTAACCAGTGGAACAACCTGTCTCCAGAAGCAGTGAATGCGCCAACACTGGACGTTTTTAAGAAGAAACTGGAAAGCCATTTATCCGAAATGGTATAGGGTTTCCTGCCTGAGCAGGGGGTTGGACTAGATGACCTCCAACATGGTTTCCAATTTTATTATTATTATTAAAGTGCTGGTGTTTGCCTATGTAAAATGTCTATGGAATACCTTGTCCTCAAAGCCCGAAGGATATACTACAGACTTTTTATGCTAAAGAAACATTGTATATTCTTGGTGCACTTTAAATGCACTTGTTAGGCCTAGTTTGGGCAAAATTATTATTTGGTTCCCAGATAGGTCCATATAACAATTTTGCCTCCTTGGAAAGAACTCAGACCTCTAAGTTCATCAGAATTTGATTCCAAGTCCCATGTTGCATTTTAAATGTGAACTGAGGCTGGCATCAGTAAAATCAAAACTAGTGCCTGGATACACATTTTTGTATATTGGACTAAACTGTTATTTTCTTCCACAGGTCTCATTCCTTGCTTCCTTTCTGATAATTTTGCCTCCTTTTTGGGCCAAGGCACTACATAAAAAAACTGGAACTCTTGGTTTTTCTTTAATTTAAATGCTTGTGCTAGACTGTATGAGTGTACAGTAGAAGCAATCAAGCAAAGCCTTAAGTAGACCTGATGTCATCCCTAGTTATATATTTCTGAATAGTTTTCACACACCTTTTAGGCTTGCCAAATATCTAAAGAAATTACTGTCCCCAGACTAAAGAAGGCACTAACTTGAGCACAGTTCAACAGGTTTTAGCAGTTTAGAGAGATGATAACAAGGGGATTCCATTCAAATTCAGACAAAATCCACCAATGTCCATGCAGAAAAGGAATGATGCATTCCACCCAACCTCTCTTACTATATTTCTTATTTTCTGCAGACCCTCATTGTCAATTGTTAACTCACATTTAACTAAATGCCCTACTCATTTTGAACAGTTTTATTTAAATTGTTACTTTCAGGCTCGGATGACTATTTCTTTAAATGTGGTCAAATTCTGTCATGGAATAGGTAAGATGCATAGTAATTTTATTGATATGGTTACCTAGTTAGTTAATTAATATTAATTTTATGTATAGCCACAATTAAGAATCTCTCCCCCAGGTCAGAAGGCTAATTTATGGAAAGCTTCTTTGGAACAACCAGATCAGAGTTTCTGAGGTGAAATGGAATATTCTGGAATTATCTGGAATGTTTTATGCCTTGTAGTGTAGATTCATTGCATGTCTAGGTGCATTGAAATTGGACATACAGCTATCAGTGATCTACTTATCCCTCTTTAGTCTGCTTGTTAATACATGTAGAATCTAAAAATGTGAAATCAAGTTTCCTTCAGTATAAGCTTTGCTCCTGGTGACTTCATGGAGATGTCCATACATGGCTATTTTTCTCAGTCTTCGCATCTTTAAAATGCTGAGCATGCTGGCTGGGAAATTGTAGGAGTTGAAATCCACACATCATAAAGTTGCTGAAATTGAGAAACACTGACATGGGGTGAAGCTTTGCTTTGTTTTCTTGGCAGCAAGATGGAAAGTATTTGCCATCTCCTTAAATTTCCAAATCAACCTACAGCATTGATAATCCTTAGAGGTCTCCCATTCAAGTACTAACAAGTTGGATCATCCTTAGCTTCCAGCCTCAGATTGGGATGGGTGGGTGGGATATTTGGGTGCAAATTTGTTTGAACATAGTAGAAGTGCTGTTTGCCTCTAGGATCAGTTCAACATGAAGCCCAGTTCAGCATTCTCCAACAGAGGGTAGGAACTATTATTTCTACCTTCATTAGAATACAATATAATGTAAACCATAATCTCTTTGTGGAATCTGCCCAATGGTGGGATTCAGCCGGTTCACACCAGTTCGGCAGAGCCGGTAGCTAATGTTTTGTTGCCCAGGCCCAGAATGGACTTCCGGAAGCAGCATCCACACAAAGAATTGGTTGTTCACATATTTGAATCCCACCACTGAATCCACCTGTTAGGGCTAAGTGTTATTCTTATTTCCCCCAAGTATGGTGAATACAAACTGCAGCTTTATGTGTGAAATAAGACAAAAATAACCTCTCTTTTGGGTGGCAACATGTATTGCCAATAAGAGTTGCACCAAGAAATAAGAACTTAAACTGAACTTAAACACGGGTAAGAGGCACTATTAAGGCTTACCCTATGGTGGTAAGGACACAATAGGCAACAATACTTCTACTCCCTTACTGCGTCCATAGATTGCCACCCAGTGGCCTAGTTTCAGCTGACCCATGCCCTTTGCAGCAAAGGGAATCAAGAAGGTCACCTTCAAGGCCAGGCAGAAGCTTAGAGCATCTGCTGAAAAATTATGTCAATTAATTCCCAGTTAAAACCCAGCCTTAGGAAGGTACCAATATGAGTTGGCGATCAGAAGGCAAGAGCAGCGTTCACAGGTATGGCCATGTGTTTGATCTTGCCAGCGCTGAGGCCATATCCCGAGATGGTACCAAGGATGGCCAATTGCTCAAGGAAGCCTGGCTATCCGACGAGAATTCAATCAATCGTTATATAGACTTCTTACCTGCTTATCAAACACTTAGGGAGTGGGAGGGACAGCGCCGTGACTCACAATGAATGCAACCAGCTCGCTCTTTGCAGGATCAAAACGGTGTGGCTGTAGGTGAAATAATCGCAACCCCCAGGGAGGACAACGAGTCTGTAGCTCGCTCTGAATTGAATTCTGAGACGGACACTCAGGCTCCACTAGAAGAGAGGGGGGAGGGGGGCAAAGAGCTAAAGCAACTGGATAACCAGCCTTGGGGCATTTGCACGCATGCCAGGAGAGCAACTGCGAGCGGGGGAGCAGCTTTTCAACCCACTAACATGCTGACAGGTACGGGACGATTAAAAACATTACGGCTGATTGAAGCAAGCAGACTGGTGACTTGTTCAAAGAGCAAGGCACAGGAGCAGCGGGCTATTTAAGTAAACTCCTGGATCCTTTATTTTTACTCTGACGACGTCAACAGTTTGGCCGATGAAAGTTAAGTGGTTTGTACATTAAACAGTCTTCTTTAGACCTTCATCCTGGTGTTTGATTCTTTCTTTGTTTTTCTAACATGCACACACCCAGGATTCATATTTTTAATGTGATTATATATATATATATATATATATATATATATATATATATATATACATACATACACATATATATATGTAGGTCTTTGGTGACGTTTCGACGAAGTCCCATTCGCCATCTTCAGGCTGGTGTTTTCAGCTTCGTGCTTCGAGCAGCAATGTGTGGTCTTAGCTGTTTCTTCCTTTTAACTGCCAGTGGGGGTATGAACTGATTGGGTGGGAGCTTGGCTGTGTTCTGATTGTGTGGAGGTGTGTTCTGATTGGTTAGGGGCTTGGCTGTGCTCTGATTGGCTGGGGGGTTGGCTGTGCTCTGATTGGCTGGGGGGTTGGCTGTGCTCTGATTGGCTGGGGGAGTGTTATGTTTGGTTGTGCTCAGGTTAGTCTGAGTTGCAGAGGGGTTTAAGATTTTAAACCTTGCTATTTTTTGGCTTCGCGTTCGTGGTCATGCCTCCTCTTCATGGAGGGTGTCCGTTTGCTTCATGTATGGATTCGAGGGGTTTAAAGTGGCTAATGATGCAGCTGTGGTCTGGCTTCGGGTTTGTGGTCATGCCTCATCATCGGTGTGGCTTTGGGTTTGTTTTTTGCATGGATGTGTGGTGGTGACATCCTGTGTGGTTTTTGTGAGTGTGGGTCTGGTATCATTTTTTGTGTTAGGGAGTCGTTTGTCAATAAGGGCGGGTTTCCAAATGGCTGGTAGGCGGGAGGTATCATCTCGCTTGTTCATGCTGTGTGGGCGTTTTTCTATCTCGATGGCTTCTCTGATTATTCTGTTATTAAAATGTTCACTTTTGGCAATGGTTCTGGTATTTTTAAAGTCAATTTCATGTCCTGTGGCTTTAAGGTGTTGGACCAGGG